CACACACACACACACACACACACACGTATAGTCACAATGAATGATGTGGTGATTCAGCTATTTGAATTTGAGTCAAAGACATGATTGTCAGTGCGAACAAGCTTATCTGTTCAGTAAATTTTAAACCTCGCAAAGGCAAGAGACCTGCTTTGACACGGACTCAGGTGTCTATCTTTTGATAGGACCTAATGTACCTCATCTGTGTACAAAGAATAGTTTTTGCCTCAATCAGAATGAAACCAAGGCTAGTTGACCGGACACTTTATAATACTTTGACGTGGTATTAGAAGGACTACTGCTACGATGTACAACAATGTAAAGTGCAGTCAAAAATTCGTGGGGCAACTTATCCTCAAATAATATCTTTAGCGGATGAATCAATGATATTATCTATACTTTGCACGTCAGTTTGTATAAATTTGTCTTAACTAAATTATCATATTTTTCCCCAACAATTGAGGCTAGTTTTTTTGTTTTTTTAAAAACGTTTCTTCATAAATTTATATAAAATTAAATCTCCGTCAAGCGGAAAATGGGATTGTTCACAGCACTTTCAGTTTTTCATATATGTTTTGCATAATATATTATATTATATTATAAGAAATTAATTTTATAGCGATCTCATTTTTTTCACGAAAGGTTCTCCAAACATGAGTCCAATAATCATGTCGAAATTAGACCCAAAAAAAAAAAAAAAGACAGACATGCTTTTATAAGTGATATTGCCCCAGCTGTAACCCTTTTAAAATCTATAGAAACCACCCCCTTTGATTTTTTAGTTTGTATCTATGAAGGAATTTTTTAGAATACAGCTAACAAGTGTTTACAAAAATAGTGATCTACTAAATTATTGTTCAAAATATGGAGAGTCTATGTTCGATAGTTCGGGAAATATTTGACAATAAATTGCGCCACGAATTTTTGACCGCCGCACAGGCGTTTATTCGCTGTGCATGGGATAACGGTGGAAGGAACTAACGTTATCCATATTGCATACGCATCGTATAGAGCTATGAAAATACATTTGTATAAACAATGCATTGTATTTCTTCTACGTTTGTATGGCTCATCTGACAGATCCTCCATTTGTTCTGCTTCGTGTTCCCACCTCCATGTCCATCCAGCCAGTGGAATCCCACATATTTCCGGAGGCGTGAGCAAAGCTACATTATAATCATAACTCCTCCCCTTCCTTGGCTTTGGCTTTATTGTCTCATGGTATTGTTAGCATTTAATTTGCAGAGACCCCCCCGCAAAAAAAATTAATTAATTA